CCAACCAGCGAACATATTCAGCCGGCTCGATAAGGGTTCCATTGACTTATATTCCTTTCGCAGGCTCGCGGCACCGTGCGGGAAATTGAATTACTTCTGACTTGTGTCGAAAGCAACCGCATTTTTTCCCGCCCAATCCAGGAGATCGTCGACTTCACTCTGGGCCGCAGCGGCGGATTCCGTTATGGTACGGCCAAATCCGATGATTCCGAAGTCGTCGGCGTAGCTGAACCTCATACCTGGATTCCCGTTTCGCATAGGCTCTGCCATGTAAAGAAGGTATAGGAGTGGGGATATCGGTGAGCCCTGGGGGACTCCACAGCTTAGCTGTCGCTGAGCGGTGACTCCTCCAGAGTAACGCACTTAGACTATTCGTTGTGCTAGGAACGAGGTCGTCCACTTGAGTATCGAGTCTGGTCACCCTTGCTCCTGCATCCTTCTCACCAGACGGTTATGGAGAACTGCGTCGAAAGCACCTTGAACGTCCAGGGTGACAAATGTAGCCGTCAATTCTTGGGAGCTTGCCTCTTCAATGTCGTGTACCACACAGGAGACAAGGTCCATTGCTGAGCGCCTTGGGAGAGCGCCAAATTGCTGTTGTCCCGTTACATCAAAGATGACGGCGAGGTGCGCCATACGCTTAGCCAAGAGCCTTTCTAGACCTTTACCTAGGCAAGAAAGAAGAGCGATGGGCCTCCATCCCTTGACTGTTGTTGGGTCTCGATTAGGCTTCGGAACAAGAACGACCTCAGCCAGCTTGAAGCAGGATGGATGAGTGCCGATTATCACGCAGGCCCGGAATAGTTGAGCGACGTACGATCCTATAGTGTTCCAACAAGCTGCTAGAAGATCAGTTGATATTCCATCTGCTCCTGGAGCCGTGTCACCACTGCTAATTGTGCAGTACCTGACTTCTTCCTCGGTGATATCGTCATTCCACGGGATTCGGTTACTGCTTTTTGCTGTGCATGGTGGCAGGTCGTCTGATGCCTGATGTCGGGCAAGAAGCGCATCGCGGAGTACTGTCGCTCGCTCTAATGGGTCCGAGATGAGGATTCCATTGTGATTAAGTGGCGGTGGAATGCTAGCATGTCGTGGATTGGCCATTCTCAGCAGCTTGAACACATCGCTCGGCGACTTCATGGCTTCGACCTGTTGCGTCTGGTATTCTTTTTTCGCAGCTCGGAGAACAGATCGAAGATTTTTCGCGCAGACGCCCCGCTGGGGAGAAGGTGAGGTCGCTTGATATTCGGCGCGTGCTACCCTGCATGCCGGGGTCCAACGAGGTGCTATTTTCCGCTTCTTGCTCTGGCTCTGGTTCCAGTCGCGTTAATAGCGGCATTAATCTGGAAACAGAGTTCTTAGGCGTATCCATCAACTTTTTCGACTGTGTCTAAGTCTGGAGGCGGCTTGATCCATCTGGCAGTGAAGTCAGCAAATTTGGGAAGATTTTTCTTCGTCACTCGGAGCTTGGAGATCCCAGGCTTCATTCTTGCAGCTCGAATCGGGATTTGTCCCCGGATAGGAAGATGATCGCTGGTTACGCATTCATTTCGATCCACCCATGCTCGAGCGCCATTGATGTTGGTCCAGGCTAGGTCCAAGGTGTTACCAGCCTTATACGTGGGCTCCCCAATAATGAGACAGGATAGATCGTGTTGTTGCGCCCATCTGTCAATTTCCTCTCCTTGTCCGTAGATTCGAGTGGTGCTCGGTTGCCAGGCCCAGTATACTGAGTTGAAATCTCCTGCTGCAACAGAGTTTGGCGGTGGGTTCCAGTTAATGAGGGGCTCCACAGCCTGTAGGTTTTTGTGAGCCTTATAGACGTTGAGGAACGTGATTCCATTGACCACGACCCAGCAATAATCCGCCGTAGGCTTGGCACAGGGAAAGACCTGTTCTGCAATTATTTCACTGCCATTTTTCCGAGTGTACGTCACCGCCCTCAGCTTGGACTGATCCTCATCATGGGGAATATGACAATCATATCCCGGATGAGTTTTCGTTGATTTGCTTTGTTTTTTCCACAGAGGTTCCTGTACAAGCAGTACATCGAATCCCAGCTCAAACGCTCGGGCGAGCGCGATGTCCTGTGTCGGGCTTCCCCTTCCTACATTTATCGACATGAAATTTAAGGTAGGAGGGAGACAGAAAGGGACCCGTGGGGCGCCCTTTACAAATTTACTTCGCGATTTATCTCCTCTGTAACCAAGGTTACAGATGGTGATACATCGGTCATCAGCACTTCGAAGCTGTTGCTGGAATTGAAGCTCGTCTAAGCAATTTTGGCCTTTTCTGACGCTGCCGAAATTGCGGCTTCAGCGCGTTTAACGGCTGCTTTTGCTCTGACAACAGCTGCAAATTCCCGTTGACTCGCCTGCCTGATCGTGTCAAGGTTCTCTTTGGATGCCGATCCAGACTTTGTAGGACAAGCTAGACAGTCGCGACTGTCCGATCGATGGGGGCCCCCGCAATTGCGACACTTTGTATGTGCCTTACACTCGGAGGAGGAATGCATGGTTGATGTGCAGCTCTAGTTAGCTGGGGCACGTGAGCATCCTCGAGTGCCATGGAATTGCAGGCAACGTTTGCACTGGCTTATTGTTTGCTTTGGCTTGTAGCGGACTGCAATACCAGAGTCGTCGAAAAGTCGGAAGCCTGGCCGAGGTACAGACGCTCTCTCAAAGTGAGCTATCCAAGTTTGGTATGGAGCTCCTACTCGCCCTTCTCCGTGTGGACGGACGCGTACCGGAACCGCCTTGGTGGTTCGAGTGATTTCGTCAGCCACCATCTCTTCAGTGACAGTTATCCTGCCCCCTAGTGTGTTAATGGTCACTGGGACTGACGCAATTCGGAGAGTTGCTAGATCTGAGGCTGTCTCCAACTTAGCTCCAGCCCTGCTGAATGATTCAGCAGCGTTTAAGAGAATTTAGCGTGCTTCTTCGTTTTTGGCTTTGATTGCGAAACCGGTGGGAACACGATACACATGTTCAATATTGGAGGATGAAACCTCCACCAATTTGATTACGGCATCTCTCACGCCAGCTGGCGAAAGAGCGTGCCATGCATGCTCCTTTTCGAGTCGTAGAAACAGATGAACATCTTTTGGCTTTGCAGTCGCAGGTCTAGCTTGTGTCTTGACTTGTACTGCTGGATTCAGGACGACTCTAACAGCCTTCACTGGTGCTATTGACTTTTGGGGAGAGCCCCGGGTGACTGTTGCCCAGGTCGTCTTGGCCTGAGTCACTTGGCGTTGTGGCTCCTGATTGTTCATCGGAGTTCTTTCTTTGGCCTTGATTGTAGGACAACTTATAGTGTCCGGGCAGCTTGGACGCTGGGGAAGGATTGGGGGGGCCGCACTGGGTCCCGACTTCATGAATTGAGCCTCTGCTGCTCGGAGATACAACTTCATCGAGTTTATAAGCGGATCGCTCGACTCTTCCGAATAGAGAGAGACCGCAGTCTCGACAGCATTGATCGCAGCAGTGCAGATCATTATATTTTTCGCCGCTTGAGCTGCCCTGCGCTCTTCAGCATCAATCATGGGTTGTAGTTCCGGAGGGCAGCCACTGATTTTTTGTCTCCTGCTTTCGCTGCAGGAATTTTGTTGCTTTTCAGTCGCCACTGATGGAGGGTTGCTGGCGATCTGAGCAGGTGTGACTTGATTAGCCTTTTTCACCTCTGGAATTGCTGCCTTCTTGACAGTAGGAGCAGCAATTTTCTTTGTCGTTGCACTGGCGGTGGTCACAGGGAACACATCGTCATTTTTCTGGGCGGCATTCCATCTGGACTTATCGAGATCCTCTATTATATATTGGTCTATGACCGCATCACCCATTTCTGCGTCTGGGTTTGTTGAGTTGGAGTCTTCCTGGAAGACTCTTATCCTTTCAGTCATCTCTGACTCCATCTTGTCTTGATCTATCGTTTCGATTGATACCTTCCTTGAATCCAGGCGCTGTTGCAGCCTGGTTTTAATTTTCGCCATTGCTTTGACCTGGCGCGCGGGGCGAGTGATTTTCGTGGGCCCCATCGCCATTTCGATGATTTAGGGTCTTGCCACTGTGAGAGACGATGATATTTGCTTGCGATATAATGAATCGAAGGGTTAAGGGGACGTATGGAGGAATTTTCATCGATTTCAAAAAATTGTGTGTGTTGTCAGCAGGCACGACGTTAAATATTATAAACTAGCCGACGTGTTGGCGCCCTCACAGACTCAACATAGTAGATGAAAGCCAGAATCTTCTCATCCGGCGCTCGAAGATAAAAATATGCATGAATGTTGGCCTCCCATCGACTCTCATGCTTTATAGATGGCATTAAATGAAGAATAAATAAAACATAGATAAAAATAGAAAGGATGAATTTGGTCGCATCAATCTAAAGCTCCCTGACTTTTATATTTGTCTCCGTTCCAGTCAGACTTGTCGTTGTGCCCCTTTGAAGAAATTTGTGGCTCGCACCCCGCTATTAAAGGCCTAAATTCCCTCCACTGAAGCAGGAGCCCAGGGTATGCTGGGAGTGAAATTCTGTGCTCTATGAAGTTGCGCATATTACTGCCTGAGGTGGTAATAGAAAAAGCGGTTTGGAGACTTTTCTTCTCCGCATCAGCAGGTGAGGATGGTGCTTTCGTGCAGAAACCGCCGGTAATAGTCTGCGAAATCGCCATGTTTAGACCGTGCAGCTAGTATACATCCTACTTTACGACGCCCTTGAAGGGCGAGCTTGATAGTGATCTTAGCATAAGGGGGAGGAGACTTATTGATAATGTCATCACGTGCCAAATAAGCAAGGCCGGTCATTCAGTAGTCACGAATAAAAGTATTCAGATATCATAAATAATATTTGAGTATATTCAAAGATACGAATAACAGGTGGCTATAGCAGAAATTATTTGTTGTATACCTCATGATGGGCGCTTTTATTCAATGAATTTCATGACAACTCCCCTACCTGAAGTAATTGAAAGAGGTAAATATCTCGTACTCTTGTGTTCCCTAAGGCTTTTTGCCTTCATATGTCACTTCCACTAAGCCTAGTACTTGTCCCTCAAGCGGTTTCATCTCTTTTCCGCCGACCTCATTCACGCTATCTTTGATTCGCTGTAGAATATTCTCAGCATCCGGTATAGCTATAACCTTGCCTTTCTTCTTCGGCTTCACCAAAATTTTAACGCGCGACCCCTTGAGCAGAAACTCTTTCATGCGACGTAGCTTGGTTTCAAGGTCGTGGGGCTCGACAACCCAGGTCAATTCAATAGTCTTGGTCTGTATTTGCTTTTTCTTCTGCTTGTTTCTTAGCGAGGCAAGCTCACTCCGACGGACGACAGCTCGGTCCATGATTTTACAGAGGGGATACTGGCCGTCCTCACCATAATTCTCGGATATAGTGACAAAACTTTTGTTCTGAAAGTCGAAATTTTTGAGGATCCTGGACGGCTCAAGAGGTCCCACAACTTCGCCCATTTCGTCGATGAGCCAAACGAGCTCTGACTTGATCTCCATGTTTCGCGGAAGGCGACTCTTGTGAACTTCAGCTTTCGCATCTGAGACGTAGACGATGGTGCGCCGGAGAGAATAGTTGATGAGGGCAAGAGAAGGATGATGGTGAGGCCATCGCTGAAGCCCGTTCGGGAGTGGGAAAACGGGCCGTATCGCTGCTGCCGTCTTGAATGAGTGTACAAAATTTCGCATTTTTAACTTTTATTTCTTTTATCCGTGTCGCGGGGAGAAGACGTTAGCTTGGCGTCATCACATCTTTGATTTTTCGTAACTGTCAAGGCACTCGAATCTTCAGTTGATGCATGTCTTCCGCAAGCTAGGCCAATCTCAGATTATCTAATAGGCGAGAGACGCTAATGCAGGCTCGTCAGATGGCTTAGCGGCCAGTCATCCAGGCTGATATGCCTAGAGGCCTTATGAAGCCTTAGGTGTCTACACTACCCTTGGCTGAATGGTAACTGGTTTGAGCGGGCGAACTCTTCTGACCCTTTGCTGAACGAACACTCATCTAACCCTACACTTTATAATTGATCAAGTTGCTTCTCACATTTTCTCTCGATAGGAATTTACAATTGAGCTCGGCATGCATATACACTGTGCTATGCTCTTTATGTGTCGTGCTTGTGCCTGGCATATCTAAAATCGAAGAAATACTATCTTAGAATCCCATCGCCCGATATTCGTTCCTGTGCATTCTTTATAGCACACGATGAGCTAATATCTGTCTATCTATGGTACATAAGCAGTGTTCTGAGTACATGTGAGGTGACTCTTATGACTTGAGAGACGCTTATACCACCACGAGGCGCTATTGATATTTAGCGATCGAGCCTCCTTTATGAGTACTCAGCAAAGGAAAGTTTAGATAATTTTAGTCGTCCTGGAATGCTTTCAACGTTCCATATAAGAAGACCGTGAGAAACGCCTTTGAGTCTCGCTGAATTCAAACGGGCAATCTCCCATCTCAAATGGGATAGCTATCTGTTGGAAATTCTGACTCTCGAGTGTAGGACTCATCTACAATTTGTTTCGTCTGAGGTTCCCAACAAGATAGATTCTCTTTAGACGTGTCCCGAGAGCGCTGCCAAAACCTATTGTTGCGTATATGTTTGGGTATTTACGTACTACAGTATACCTTGGTTCATGGTGGATGAGAGGTGACTGTTCATTACTAGGTTTGACAAGTACATGAGACTAGTGGGAACTTCTCCCATAAAATGTATATAAAACTCCAATGTATTGAAGGGTGATGGTGTATATGGTCGTATACACTTAATCTCTTCAATTGAATGGTTTTAACTACTCATAGGGCTTAGAATACACTTGGATCATTATGGCAGTAAATTTCATGGGATGCGAATGGTATCTTATTATGTTTTTATTTTATGTTATATTACAGTTTATTTACATGATAATTAACCAATCCCACAAACTCCCAGATAGCGCCGAAGCTGGTCTCTTTTAGGAGTGATCTACGGGTGAGTGTAGCGATCGATGGTATCTAATTTATTACTAACCTCTTGCCGATTCTCTGACTCTGCATGCTACACTACGTGGCAGACGATTAACTGCTTATGTAAAAGGCGCATTCATAACACAATGTTCCTATAGTTGTAAAACATCAAGTCTTCTTTACTTCATATATCCATATAATATCGTACAGAGTATTTGTTCCAACAGATTATGAGGTCAAATCCTAAGCATCGTGGAGAGAGTCCTAGCTCATTCAGTTTTCATCAGGTGAACGTGGAAAATGATGGACCTAAGTTAAGTTTGCTCTCAAACAGGCTCAATATGCGAAAAATCGCCTTTTGATGGTACGGGAGCCAGGGATAGAGCATAAAAACGACAGTCATATTACAGAAAACCTCCCTGACCTTAATTTCCACAAACTACTCGGAGAAAAGATGTGCAGCGGCACGCGACCACTTTTTAACGAAAATGAATTCCCGACTCTAGCAAAACATAGGAGTCTCTACTTCGCTGGGGTTTCCCGAGCCCTTCAATTTTTGGGAGGGAGTTTAGCTCTGCATCATAAAATTTATAGTCTTAGACGACTCGCCAGTAAAGTAACGGGAACCAGATTTTGGAGTGGAAGAATAGGTCCTCGGTGTAATAAAGCCTACGGTGAAGAATGCCGTGATTTCAAGAACACTCAAAACTCTCAACGTCTTCTGCAGAATCCCGAAGAAACTTTAGAAATCCAGCTCGTTTGGCAAAGCGAGAATATGGGAAGAAGCAGCGTCAACTAATGCGTAGGTATTTAGTTTGATGTGATAGATCAGACGACGATCTGTAGTAGAGCCTGACCCACTCCGCCATGAGGAAATCCGTGAGAGTAACTAAATATTCTTCGGGATACGCTTTTGTCATGGTGTAGCGCCGATATTGATGTCCTACAATGGGAGCGATGAGATCAAGGATCAATTCTCTGGGTAGAAAGCCTATGCGTGGAAGAGGTTACAGTCACCACGATCGGATCACGAAATATGACCGCCGGAATCTATGAGATAACAGTTCGATTACTTGAAGCCCGCTAGGTGCATTCAAGATACTACGTGAAAGAGATCTTTCAGGCATGTATAAGTTTTATATGTTTCCCACTTACCTTTAAGATAGAAGAAGCTGTTTTACTTCCTCAACCTGGGCGGCGTTTTTCAAAATCTAAAAGCTAGCGTCCAGTTTCTCTACTTTCGAGCTTAGATAAAAGACTGGAGCGCCTAGTCGCCTAGAGAAATGTATAGCTAGCCGCCACCCACAACTATCCGACACCTTCTGAGGATAATTTACGGTCGTTATTGTCTACAGTTTTATCCACGATGTAGAGGCGATGATTAGAAATAGTAGGTTTCTAGTCATAATTATTCTGGACGATCAAACTGCTTTTGATGCAGTGCTTTACAATCACTTGCTTGAGCGATTGAGAGGCCAAGGCTGGCCAATTTCACTTTGCCGTTAGATTCATTCTTTTCTGACTCAAAAAAAATTCCGCATTAGATACCGAGGGGTTATCACGGAAAAGAAAGACTTTGAATGCAGTCTACTCCAAGAATCACCATTTTGTCGTTTAAATTGGAGCCTAGCCTGTGATAGGCGAAGTGTATGTAATTAAAGGAAAAGAAAACTCAATCAAAACAACAGAATTCTTATTTCTCCCGAATTCTAGGATTATATACATTGGTCATAACTGACTTGAACTCTAAATATATATATATGCGCTAGGAATAGGATAACCTGCGGTTCTAAATACAGAATACAAGCACTGACAAAAGCGAAAAATCCACGCACGTATGGACAGTCCCTATTTTTGACCCGAGACATTTCCCTGTCCAACTTCTTCGGTAGTCACTCTTAGCCTTCGACACGTTTTCACCTTTGCTTTTCTTGCTTAATATAAACGTCTTATCCCAAGGATTAAATTAAGCCAGCAGGTTCGGATATGCTAGTAATGCGGCGGTTACTTCCGTAGGTCACAGCCCTATAGAAACGGTAGCATTCGCCCAAGTGGATATAAACATGCTACGCAAGTCGATATTAGAGCACAAGAGTAACTTTATTCCGGTAAAGATAGATCTTGTAGCCCTTGGAGGGGGATTGAGCACGAATATTGACGCGACTGAGCTCTCAATCATACTCAGAGGTCGCAGATTTGGTCTTTATTACTTTTACGTTAGCTTGATATCTAGCTATACAATAAGCTCAAGTTTAAGAGGTACTTTCAAGAATGGGCTGGAAAGACACAACTTATGGTCCAGTTTCTATGACATATCAATAATGTAAAACGTCGGGCCACACTAGGACCTTTTGTTTGAGCAAAAAAAGCTTGAATTCTAAGTACAGCTATATATAATTCTAAAGCATGATATCCTGACCTTACTCTAACAACTAGGCAACAAAGAAAAGGACTAGTTATGGGAATAATTTGGCACATTATCCTCATTGATTGCACTATATCTGGGTGGCTCTTCTAGTTAAGCATATCCCCTCAATTATGACTCTCCACAACGAGGCAGGGATTTTGTCGGCGAAAATTTTAATTGAAAAAAATGGTTGAGGCTCGCTGCACTTTTACTGTGGCTAGATGAACGGAATCTACTTGTAGTTCGATCAAATTAGGGCTCAAAGGATATAATTAAGCGGCTTGATTCGCGCACAAAGCAGAAAGACCGCTCTTACAAGCTTCCTGAACGATACCTATCTCCTCTACATGTGAGTATGCAAAGAAATCCGGCTTCGGATGGCCCTGAAAAGCTAACCAGCCCAAAATAATTATCATAATTGCCTTTTTATGGACGTGAAAAGGAAGAAGTAGACAACGCTAAAAACTAGCTAACCACTTTATCGTCACATACTACCTGTGCGTACGCTGAAGAATCTTCGCCCCAACTGGGACGATCCGCATGGTGGTACGCCATTTACTGAGGAAGTCAATTATCCAGAGCGACTCAAGTCCTCACTAGGATCTGAAGTATTCGAGAAAGAAGTTATGGGGGCGTTCAAGGCTCTTGGTTCAGCCGTAGAAGCGGCTAGGAATAACCTGATCTTTTTTCTGCTAGATAATCAGGCAGCTATACAAGTGCCCAGAACTAGTATGTCGCAGTCTTAGCAAGCAGTGATGGATGTATTTGCAGGTTTTTGCCGGAGATAATAGGGGCTAGAAGTCTGGAAAGACCTAAGGCTATTGTGAACTCGCAAGCAACAAAAAAGCAGAAGCGCCGGCAAAGACGAATTCTTCGCATTCTAGTGGTGCCGGTGTAATTTCTCAGTGTGCTCTGCATATCTGAGATAGCCAAAAAGAATCGCATACGAATTAAATTCGAAAGCAAAAACAAGTACATCTCTTTTTGATGATTTCTCAATCATGTAGCACCCACCATAATCTTCTGAGTACTAGATCTCTTTGTAATCACATATCATCTCGTCTCAACTACCGATAAAGGCGTCACCTTAATTGCAAATAGGAGCTTGCCTCATTCATTACAGGCCATCACTTTCACGGAATAATAACAGGGGTTAGAATGATAGTTTACTATTAGCATACAAATATGGCAGGCCTGAGTAGGGAAAGGTAACGTAACAGTGAACTACGAGCATGTACACAATAAAGCGTAGCTTCCAGTCGAGTTGTCTTCTTCACGCAACGTCTTTTCAATATTATTCTCATTCTAGATATTCCATCTTTCCCTTGTGAA